AATCAAATGTATAATCATGTAATAGTTGTTTTTTTTATAGGTTGCTGCAACAGTCCTAACAATGAGACAAGAAGATTTATGGGTTCATTTTTTCCTGCTGTTTCATTTAATAACTTTAATAATGTTTCCAAAAAGTCATTGTAGATTTACATGAAGACATTTTTTGAAGTTAGACTACTGTTATTTATACCTCCAGAACTAAGAATTGCCTAGAACTGGCTGCGTAGTCTTTTTATAGTTACTATGGTGTACAATGCTATGTGTGCACCATCTGGATGCAGTTTTCATTCAATTTTACATCCATCTATTGCTCTGAAGCTAATAGGTATGCAAACCTTTGCCCACTTTTAACAAGTTATATAGAATTCTTCCACTTTCTTTTGAGTCTATCATCAGAATTGTTTAACAATATAGTGATTGTATATAATTTATATATATTTTTGATAGTAAATGCCTTGTGTACCAATATTGGTGGTCTTAACTACACCGGGGATATTTGTAATACTGTGATATTGATATTAGGCAAGCACCCTTGCTAAACTGTTTTAGATGCCTGCTGAAGCAAGTCTACCCAGAGATATTTCCCAAATAGCCTTATTTGTGTTTAAAGTTTCTGATAATTTTTATATGTGTGTTTTATTCATAATTTTATGACAATTTTGTGGTTGTAAATCAGACATCTTTATAAATAAACAGCATAAATAAATATCCATTGTGTTCGTCTGCTAGTGGAACAGACTTCTGCTTACACAATGGGATTTCCATGGACTGCCTATTCCAGAACCAAAACTACTGCTTGTTAGTGTGGACAATACAAGGCTCAACAGACCAAAGGTATAAGGTAAATACCTTATACGGTATATAAGGTAACTTCCTATGTTCCTATGATATAGTTGGGTATCATCCATTGCCATCTTTTCTTTCAACCAATATTTGCTATCATACATTGAATAAAAGAAACTTGAGATTCATTAGGCACATAAAATGCACCCCAGTGGGAGCTGTCAGCCGATCAGCTTTGGGTCTACAACAGTATGCAGAGTTCTCTCCTGCTCTGGACATTCCCCTCTTAAAGACGGCCAAGAATTACTGGGTGAGCTCCCACTGCTCTGTCCCAGCTCCTGCCAACCTAGCAGTTCGAAAGCACTCCAGTGCAAGTAAATAGGTCCTCTGAAGCGGGAAGGTAAACAGCATTTCTGTGTGCTCTGGTTTCCATCATGGTGTCCATTGCACCAGAAGCGGTTTAGTCCTGCTGGCCACATGACCCAGAAAGCTGTCTGTGGACAAACGCCGGCCCCCTCGGCCTGAAGAGAAATGAGCGCTGCACCCCATAGTCGCCTTTGACTGGACTTAACCGTCCAGGGGTCCATTACCTTTACACTGTCATTATTACAAGGCTATACATTATATATTTATCACTCCAATCATGCAGCAAACCCCAAGAAGAACTGATGATTACTACTTAAAATGCTTAATAGAGGACAGGGAACCAGAGATTACCTTAAAAGTGGCTAAATTCTGTGCTGCCGCTATGAAATTAAGGCGACAAGCTTTGAATGAATCTAATGGCCAATGTCTTAATATGTTTTAAATTAGTGGTTAAGGTTTTAACTTATATATATTTATATGTGAATTCTTTATTGTGTATCAGCTCATAGAGTTTACTTTTAATCTATTTATAGCTGTATGCTCTCTGTTGTTGTATATGTTTGCAGTCTGGTCAGCGACTGAAATAAATCGGTTCATTAATTTATGGGGCAGGAGGAAGGGGAGAGGAGTTGTTATGCCCCATTCCCCACCTTGACCACCTCAAACTGACAATGCGTAGGAAGTGGCCATAGGGTCACAGATTCCCCATCCCTGCAGTAAATCATACAGACATCATGTGGTGCCTGCAAGTCTTTTCAAACATTGGATCAGAGGTTTATTTCTATCTCTTTTAGACATAGTATGAGGGAAAACTAGGTAATTGTGAGATGAGTCAAGGCAGTGAGCAGAACTGTTCTATGCAACAGGTTTATTAACATTTCAAAGCCCTGGACACACAAAGGGAATTAGTTATAATACAGTAAGTTGTAGCTCTTTCTGCTCAGGGTTTTAATCTTCTTAAGTTACATGTTTATGGAATTTACACAGTCAGATATCAAATGCTAATGAACCTGCCACTTAACAAAGCTCCTTTGTCCTGCCTCCTTTTTCCTCTTCTTAAAGTTGCCTGATCTCAAACATCAGCCTGATACTAGGAGAACTGCAGAACCTGAGCATGAGACCTAGGTGTATTGGCATATTACAAGAAGAGGGAAATGATCAAAACTTTAGAAATTTGCTAAATCCCTCTTCCAGAAAAAATATCTGCCTTTACAGGGCCTTTTTAAAAGGCAATAAGACAGGTGCCTTATTTGCCAAGCATGTAAAGCTGAACACACGCAAGATAAATGTAGGTAAGTTGCAAGTTACCTGTACTATGCATCTCAGAGGTATATCATCCAATATGTATCGTCTATATGGGACTTAATTGCAGACTTCTATGGATGTGATTTTCAAACACGTGATATATTTTCAAAAGGTCCAAAGGTGAAAAACCATATTTAATTAATTCCCCTGTATCTTTTCTTGTGATTCTCAGGCAACTTCTTATAGAACAGTTTGGGAAACAAACTAGAAAGGGTGAGGTGAGCATCCACCTGTTGGCTAAGAGTCTGTAGGTGGAAACAGATGACAGGTAAGCATATGGTGGCTGCATAAGTCTTTCGAAATTACAGCTATTTGTAAAAAGCAATCCTCAATTTCCCCATCTTAGCTCAGCTCAGCTTGTCGTCTGGGCAGTGCAGGACCTCCAGACACACTGCCCAGGCTTGTGGCCCAAGGAAGTTACTTCAGTTCTGCTAATGCAGCAGAAACAATGTGGGAGGCAGCAGTTGCAAGTTACCGGTCTCTGCAGTCACAATGGGTGCTGTGATTCTCCAACACCTGGACTTCATCCCTGGAGGCACACTCCATTGTCTCTCAAGACAGACCGGTGCCAGGTGTCAGCAATAACGTGTGACAGCTTTTATGATCGCCTTGCACTTGCTGCTATGCTGTGAGCATGGAGGCCTGGCTGATCTCCTTGAGATGGTCACTCAACTGTTCCATCAACAAGAAAAAAAAGAATTACAACCATCCCTCTTCCTCTCCAACGAAAGGATTTAGAGCTCATTTACATGCATGAGGGTCATACAGGTGACTAAGAACAATGACCAAGAGCCTTAGGTTCTGGTTCCCCAGTTGTCTTTTTCTATAGGAAGCCTTTTAACCATTCTTAGGAGCTACTTCCTTGCCTTCCTACACTTTCCCTTCCCTCAGTCCAGATTTTCTAATACTGTACCGGGGATACTGAAAAAGGAGTGAGTGTGAGGAAATCCATATGGAGGGAGGGATAAGTGTGAGAAGGCAGTGATTTAGAGTACATGGTATGAACAATGGAGAATTAATGCAAATATGCTGTATACAGAGTCTCTCGAATTATTTTCTCTTTCCCTTCCTCCCTTCCTTGTGTCTAGAGCACATGCATATAAATGCAGGCACATCACACAAAGCACCATGCAGCATACAGTCTGCCATTTCACATACAAAGGCATATTTTCTAATTGTCAAAAAGTCATTGCAAGCCAATTATGTTTTTCTGGTATGTCTTTAGCAAAAGGAACTGCTGTATTACCCTCTTGGCTTTTAAGTCAGAAGAGGACAGGCTACTGCAGAGGCAGTGGCCACGAAAGAGTAGAAGAGCCTTCAGCAATGTGTCCTAATAGGAGGGTTCACAGTGATTCTCCTTATGAAGAGGGAGGTGTTGCAAGATTGCCAATGCATTTTCATCTGTGAGACATTGCTGGGCTGGGCAGGCATCCCAGCTGCTTTGATGTTGCTTGGATTTCTAGGTGAAACTTGAAAATGAAAATCAGTTCAGCTTTCAAATGCACTGGCACACTCTTGTGTTGAATCTCTATTATTACGGTTTTAAAAATGAAACTACCTGCTTCTTTTTAGGAAATGAATGTGACAAGCAGCCCTAAACACTCACCACTTGCAAGCATTTCACGTTGATTTAAATAAGACCTCCCTCTAATGGACTGACCGTCAGCATTTCCATTTGCTTGATTTTAAAAAAAAAAATACAAAATGAGCTTTAAAAAAGTGAAGCGTCTCCAGTGGAGTGCAATGTTTCATTTCCTGGGACACAAATAAAGGAATCCTGTATCCTGCACCTTCACTGTGAACAGCAGCTCAGACTGAATTTTCCTGTTTTAAAATATGAATAAAAAGAAAAAAGGAAATAAGACATTTTAGGCAGCAATCCTTTTTTATAAACGACTTTGAGGTTTTTCCTCAGTCAGGAGTTATATAAAGTCTAACTCTAACCCATAACCCCCAACCCATAACCCTCCCCTTAACCCTAACCTTTACCACTAACCTTAACCCTAACCACTAACCCTAGCCCATAACCCGAACCCTTAACCCTAAACCACAACCCCTAACCCCCATCCCCTAACACCAATCCAAACTGCTAACCCTAAACCCCAACCCTTAAACCTAACACTAATCCCAACCCTAATCCTAACAAAATTTCTAAACCAGGTTAACCAGTGAACCAGAGTCAACCAGAGTCAACTTCATTGGATCCATGCCATCAAACATGGCTTGAACAGAGGTCTTGTTACACATCCTCAAAAAGAGCAAATTGTTGGCCTAGATAAACACAGCTCACACAACTCTGTATGCAATTATACAGAACTTCCCAATGACATGGAACATGAAATTTATTGCGGCCATTGGCCCATATCGAAAACAATACATCAGAATTTATCCGTAAACAATACAATTTAAACAGTTCCAAGTTAAAACACCCTTATAAAACCGATTTTGCTTTAGTTTAGTAAACACTATACACAATAAGCTCCCTCTATGTAAACCGCAATTCCGATCCATCAGATTTTGGGGGGTATACGTCTTAGTTCTGGCACTTATTGATGGTTCTTAAGTTTAGCTAAGCTGTCAGAAACATACAGTGATCCATTTCTCCTCTTTTGAAATAAAACATTAATCAGGTATCTAGCGACTGCAAGGGATCTACTTGTATCTTCGTCGTTTAATAAGTATATTATTTGGGCTTCCTGAGGACTGTCAGCAATTCTCGATAAATATGGGGCCAGAAACTTGGACCGTGAAGCCGAATGTAATGGACAACAGAAGATTATATGATATAACGATTCTATAGATCCGCTTTTACAGTCACAGAGGAGTGAGATCTGTCCGTTGGAGAGTCTGTTACCCAACACGTTTGATGGGAAAGCATTGAATCTAGCCATTATAAAGGCATACCTGTGCGTCACCACAGATAAGGTAGTTAAGTAAGATGGAAGTTTCGTTGGTGGTGTTAAGCCAAGGTTTATCGGCGAACAGGTGCCACCACCTGTCGCAATATTAAATTGTAAATCCATCTCCTCTAATTTGTGAGTTATAATTCTTTTGGCCGAAATTAAATCCAATTTTAATAGTTCAGATGGAGATAGTCCTAGGGACACAAGTTTCCCATGTATTATTTTTGCCCAGGGGCTAGGGAAGTCATCTCTCCAGAGGCACTGTATCAAGTGGAGATTTGGAAGTTTATGCCATAAAGCCAACCAATAACAGAGGATGCATTTCCATAATGTGGTTTCTAGAGATGTAACATTTAGTTCCAGTCGTATAGCAGTATTGCTTACACACCTGGGTAATTTTAACAACCTTCTTAAAAGCTGGTTTTGGATTACCTCCAAATGGGTTAGATTAGCAAAGGACCCCCATAATGGGACTGCATATGCTATTGTTGCAATCACCTTTGCCTTGAAAACTTTTAACACTGATGGAATATGGAAAGCCCCATCTGAAAAGAAAAAACGCAATAGCGCATAGGAAAGGGCTTTAGCTCTGTTTAATACATATGCAACATGGACCTTCCAGCCCATGTTGTGTTGGAGAAAGACTCCCAAGTACTGAAATTTAAAGACTTGGTCAATAGCTTTTCCGTCTATTCTCCAATTATAGGTTTTTCGACTCTTGGTGAAAATTAGGACTTTGGACTTAACATGGTTAATTGTAAGAAAATTTGATTTGCAGTAAACATCGAAGATTTTTAATGCCCTCCTAAGGCCGACTCTTGAAAAGGATAGGATCACTGCGTCGTCTGCGTAGAGTAGAAGGGGGCAACGATATTGGGCAAGACGGGGGGCGTGGATCGTTTCTTGAGCCTCTATCAGAGGCGCCCTCATATCACTTATAAATAGATTAAAAAGGGTCGGAGCAAGGATACATCCTTGGCGAACACCTCTATTGATAACTACTGAGTTTGAGAGGTCGCCTGCCGGAGTGATTCTCACCCTAGCGGCCGATCCGTCATGCAATTTAGTTATTAGCCACAAAAGTCTTTTGTCTATTCCCCATCGGGCTAATTTTCCCCAAAGCAATCCTCTGGGGATGCTGTCAAAAGCGGCCTTTAAATCAATAAAGGCCGCACAAAGTTGGCCTCTATTTGGGGAGGAGTATTTCCGGGCAAGGTGGTATAAAATTAAGACCTGATCAACCGCTGACTGATTCGGTCTAAAACCAGCCTGTTCAGGCCCAATCAGGTTGTTCTCTTCGGCCCACTTAGTAAGCTTAGTTAACAAGAACCGTGCATATATTTTCCCAATTGATGACAATAAACTGATATTCCTGTAATTTCCCGGGTCATCTGTCGAGCCTTTTTTATGAATTGGAACAATAATTGCATCCTTCCATATTCTTGGTACCTTCCCACTGTTGTTTACGGCATCAAAGATAGCGGCCAGGATTTTCGCCCACCAGTCTGCATGAAGTTTTATAGCTTCCGCCGGGACTAGATCAGGACCGGGGGCTTTTCCGATTTTAAGATTAGAAATAAGTCCGTGGATTTCTTCCGGGTCAGTGGGTGGCCAAAGAGGGAGCTGCTCATAGACTCCATCGATTGTATTAATATTAAGGTCTGGTAAGGCAAAATAATTCCTTAGAAAGGATTCCCAAATTGGGGCAGGAATAACTGTTAAGGGGTATCTTTTAGATTTTCTGTTAACCAACAGCCAGAATTTTCGGGAATTACGGGTACTTGAGGCAGCTATAAGTGCTTGCCAGCGGTTCAATTGCCATTCCTGTTTGGCCTTTTTCTGCACATATTTGTAAGCTGATTTTGCCTGATAGTACTCCTTGGGAAGCGTAATCGCCCCTGAGGATTTGTAATCATTATAAATAGCACAAAGGTGTTGTTTGGCTTGTTTGCAATTACGGTTAAACCACGGTGCACCTGTCTTGGGGTGGGCCCAATTTGCCTGGTGGGTTGGGACAGAAAAGAATGACGTGAGGTCATTCAACAGATTGGCAAATAGATTAATAGTTTGATCGTGATCATATGAAGTTATGCCAAGGGCTGAATAGGTTTGTATGATCTCCTGCTGAAAAAATTCAGAATATTTTTGAGCCTGCGTTACAGACCACTTTGTACCCTTCACTCGTAATGCCGTATTAATACCCTCTACCGGGTTTTCTGCATTAGTATCTAATTGAGTTAGATGACCGTGCTCGTCCCCGTGCCAGTCTAGGTCAAACGTAGCAGCAAGTGGAAGGTGATCACTATAGTGAATATTGCCAATCTTAAAAGAGAGAGCTTTCGAAATCAGGTCACTCGAGGCTAAAAGGTAATCTAGTACACTGTTTGATTTTATGCCTAGGTGGGCAGCAGCCATTCAGGGGTTCTAAGTTTAAGCGAATAGCCATCTGGTAAAGAAGTACTCCAGCCTCGTTTACTTTAGAGTCTTTTGAGGCTCTCCCTAAGGCATGTCTCAAATCATAATTGTCAAGGCATGGAGCAGTCCACCATTTAGCTTTAGTTAAATCAGCCCAATTTGCTGCTATACGTGCGTTGAAGTCACCACCAATTAAGGATTGGCTATTGGCATATTTGACTCGGCATGATACTAAATGATCTTCTAATATTTCCCATCTATCATGCAGTTCAAGGGACGAACCCCCTGGCGGGAGGTAGACATTAGAGATTAGCAGTGATACTTTTCCCCCCGACATCAACCCGGATAAAGCATAAGGGGGGAGCAGTCAAAACTAGTGAAAATTTGAAATGCAGCTTCAGTGAGATACCTATTACTAGACCACCTTTCGGCCGTCCTCCTTTCTGGGAGGGATAAGCTGGAAGGGATAATAGGTCGAATCCGTTTATGACAATTTCACCCTCCTCCCAAGTTTCTTGCAATAGAATGATATGAAACGAGTTGATATACGACTGGAATTCTGGGTCACATTTTTTCCTACGCCAGCCAGCTATGTTCCAACAGAGGATCGATATTGGTGGTTTTCTGGATTGTCCGGCTAACCGTCATTTAAATTCTTGTGGGGGGCTCTTATGCGACCAGGACGCTCCCTTAAAGAAGTCCGTTATTTTCCTTTGCTGAAAGTTGTCGTCCTGGTGTGGTGAGTCTTTTGCTCTGGTGCGCACCGGTTGTGGGGAGTCTTTTGCTCTAGTGCGAGCCGGTTGTGGCATGATCGACTCACGAGGGCCAGAATTTTTGGGGGGCAGAAGAGAGTTAGCATCCTGGTGGGTAGGGATAATATTTGGCGTTTTTAGCTGTCGGGCCCAACTAGGCTCTGAAGAGGCTCCTGCCAAGTCCGCTGGAGCCGTCCTCTTTGGGGATCTAACCGATACACTTGTGATCATTTGATTTATATGTCCTGCTGGGTCTTCAGTCCACTCTGTGGTGACTCTCGACACTGTAGTGTCTTCCTCACGTACTTGTTGGATTTTTGGTGGACAAGAGTGCGCTGGAAAAGCCTGACTTGGAGTGGCCACTGTCGTCTCAGGTCGTGGATGGTCTTCGATGTATGTTGATTCCAAGTCCGGCATGGAGGAATGAAGGGACAACGATTTATCCAGGGGGGTGTTATCCTGAGTTCCATTCTTGGATCGGTTAATCACGGAGGGAACAGATAAGTCTATTAGAAGCAGGGATGAGTTACCAACGTGAAGGGGAGGAGAAGAGTCTGCCTCCAGCAGTGAAACCTTCCCATCCAATGCAGAAGGCACCTTATATGCTGGGTATTGGGGAATTGCTGTTTCCACCTCCATGGGGCATGGCACCGCTAAATTAGAGTGGGTATTATTCGTAGAAACTCCATTGCAGGCGATACTTAGGAGCTGAAGTTTAAGTGAGTCTAGCCTATTTATAATTTCTTGTTGTTCCATCGCTGGTAACTCTCCAAAGGAGGCGATAAGCTCTCTTTCCTCCTGGGGTGTCAGAGAGTTACTGGCACAATCGTAGTGTTTAGTTGTAGGAGTGGAGGCATTTTGGGACTGGCCCAGACATGGGGTGTACAGCTCAGCCCTCTTTTGTGGTTCAGGATGGGAGGGTTGTACCGTCTCCTTAATTAATCCCTCCGATAGGAGGGGTCTAATTATGGAATCCATGAAGACTCTCGTTGGAAAAATGCCAAGACTATTCAAAAACACTTTTTGCTTAATAATAAGAGAGGGGATTTTTGCAGAGTGGAAAGCCAGCATCATTCTCTGATATCTGTTCTGTTGGATTAAGGGAAGCACAGCACAAAGATCTATTTGTGATGTCTCGAGTTTTAGAAGCCATCTGAGGTGCTCTTTAGTCCCATGTAGCGTTGCCCAACTTGGGTCCCTTTCCCGGAAGGTTAGGGAAATCTTCCTTGGATGTAGAGTCAGGGATTGGCGATTCAGTGAGGGGTTGAGATTATATTTGCAGTTCTTCATACGATCAGTGTTTGGTGGCGCTTTCTGCCGGCACAATGGAACATCTACTGCCCCATCTTGGGCTGTCTGTACCGGCTGGTCATCCAGTTTTTGCTGAAGGCTATGCAGCTGAGAGGATAGGCCATCAATTTTCTTAAATATACAGTTTAGAGTTCTAATTATTAGATGGAGTTGCTCACAACCTGTGCAGTCCGCAGATTCGGCTACCAACACCTCCTTCGGATAGGGACCATCCCCATTTGTGTTACCATTGGCTTTTCCAATTTGTAGCGTCTCAGGGGCCTCATCTTTTGATGTTGTTTCAAGGGCCGTTAGAGGATCGAAACGATTTTGAATTGCTATTGAGTAGATACATTCCTCGGGGCCTCTCCCACCTTTAGGTAAACCCTTCCTTGATTGCTTAGGCCTCGGAGAGGATAGTGCCTCGTCAGGGTCTCTTGGGCGTTTTCCATGGCCCATAAATCAATTTTGCAGGGGAACCGTTGTGAGCACTGTGCTGGGGAGCTCCTTAAATCCTTTAGTCTTCCTCACAGGAATACTACCACTTCCAGGAGAGTGGTGCCGTAAAATTACTCACAGTAAGGCAACCAGTTCAAGCCTCTTCCTTCCCCTCTTCCTTGTTCCTAGGATTTTTGAAACAACCCGGTTCCAGCAGTCAGGCAAACTTCACTTCGCAATATGCAGTAAGCTAATATGCAGTAAGCTAACAGCTAAAAGGAAAGAGCTGGTCGACAGGGCAGAGGATTTATGCCCAGGAAAACTTTTCACTTATCTCTCCCAGTTAGGGAGGCGGCGGCAGCCGTGGCGGCGAGTCCGGGGGGGTCGGAACAACCCAGATAAAACAAAATAACACAAGTAGAGCGATATTAAAAGACAGCCAGCACAGCCAGCAGATCATTAAAACTCTCGGATAAAAACAAAGGAGGATAAAACCGCTTAAAACCACGTAAAACTTTGATGAGGGTAAATGAAATTACTTGGTAACTACCTTCGTCGCCATCTTGCCTCCTC